TTTGCAAAAAAATTATATAAAAGACCTCTTGAATACATGCCTACTATCTAATTATTGTAAATTTAACAATACATTTTGAAATTAAAGGGTCCCCTTTGGGGTTCACCAATACTTTGTGCCGAAATATTCTTAAATAACTGTGAAAAAATTATTTTAATGATTACTATATAGATTATATTTATGCTATACAGTCGGGAACACTATAGGAACTAAAAGAAACCTTCCAATTAATTAATTATTTACATCCTATTGTAAATTTTTCTTTCGAAATAAACAAGGATGGTTGTTTAAACATTTTAGACTTAAAGCTGTCCATAATAAATAATCCTAATTGAAAAAATATGTGTATACAAAACCCACGACTACAGCCACCATATCATAACAGCAGATTGATTAATCAAATACAATACAAATAACATACATACATCATTACGTTACATTCCACACATCAAATACTTTTTACATAGTCTAATTTTTCCAACAATTTAGCTTTCCTTTTCCTATTTATCCCCTTTCTATATAATCCTGAAAGAATAATCTGGCCGAACTATTACCAACACATTGTTCCACTTTGTCGGCTTTTTTCACTTCAAAGGAGCCGACGCCTTGCACAAAATTGTCTTTTATATACTGACTTCCTTCCCCACCTCCTCAAAAACAAACATATATAAACATGAAACAGCAAAATCTCACTGGCACTCTCAACACGACACACAAGGATGGCACAATTACACAGAAGACAAACACTTTGAGTGAGTAGAAATACTTTGTTTGAATATAAAATATATTTTGCATTGTATAAATTCACTTATCCACATCCTAAATGTATTTGTTAAATGTAAACATTGTTTGTAAATCCCAGGCCCTGAAGATGATCTCAATAAAAGATCGAAACGTTGGCACGATAAAGAAAATGTTTTTCTGAAACCTACATCACACCCGACCGCATCTCACGATATCTGAATAACTATCGATTAACGGTCACTAATCTCTACACATAAATAATATATTTTGATCTACCTCCTATTTTAAAAACACGAAACCTAAATAATATCGACATACAAATTAATCACTAATTAAAAATTATTTTCTTACAGTATCGATTAGGGAATATTTAGTTGTGTTGTAATTCACGTCTTTTGTACATTCAAAATTAAGCAGCAGCAAAACCCAACTTCTAAGTGATATGGGTTCACTCTTATTCATCCCGAGAGACGTTTAATCTGATGATGAGCGTTTAATGCTGGCAATCGGATCGTTGAAATCAACAAACTATCCTTTAAAGAGAATATTTTCCTGTACAAAAATGGCACAAATTTGTCATCGGGAAGTCAGGGTTCGGCTAGTTCGGTTAAGAGTTATGGAGCAAAAGCGAAACTGGAATGGACGTGTTTTATCTCCGAGGTCGGGTATAAATACAAAACAAAATTGCAAAGAATGATTCACAATTCCGTTCTAGAAGGGCGAGTGACGACTCCACTTTTTTTTACATCGAGGAACCGACAACAGGTGGTTTGGAACGTGAATCTCCGGTTAAAGTACAATAGAAAAGCGCTCGCTCCATAGAAAAACTCGTAATCGATAGATGGATAAAAACCGCTCTTGCAAAAACGAAAACGCATAATTTTCGGTTGAGACGTAAGTCCCATGGCGAGGAACGGTCGGGGTACTCTTAATTGTCCGGAGATAAGCGCATCCGGCAATATAAATAAGCACTAATTGGCATAAATTTTTACAAATGCTTATAATTCCATGAATTTCTAGTGATGATGCTATTTATTATATTATCAGATCTTTATTCATTCGTGTTGTAATATATATAATATGCAGTATGCATATTATATTCCATTAGTATTACGACAATACAGTGAATATGTTTTAGCGTTAGCAGAAACTTTAAGACACTTTTACAAGTTCACGAAGGTTACAATAATTAAATTACCAATTTGAAAAAAAAAATGTATTTGGCCACTAGGAGCACGAGTGGTTGTCTCTGAAGCACGTGAAATGTAAGCAATATAATAAGAAAACAATTCTTTCTTGCTATACTGAACTATTTACCCGGGAGTAAATAATATGAATCACCAGTGGAGTAAATAAAATTTTTAGAATTTTTGTAGATTTCTTTTAGAACTAAAGCAATTTAAGACGTATTCATGGGATGAATGTGCTTATGATGTGAGAAAGTCGGGAGAAGAAAAAGAAGAAGAAAGAAAGATCGAGGAAACTTAGAGATTGTAATTTGTCAGAGGCATTTTGGCAATTCGCAATCTTCATTTATCTGCTCAGTAAGGTGTGTTTTGAGTAATGCCACGCTGTTTTGCAAGTTTCTATGCCGGGGCTAGTTCGTAGTTTATGGCCAGCCTTATGGGAATGTTTTGTTCATGTAATTCTGGAAGTGAGGTGAATTTTGATGGTTGTTGGACCATTTTAGTGTATTTGCATATGTTTATGATAAGAAGGGATTTGTTAGTGGTTCTATGATGTTTTTAAAAGTTGTTTGTGCGATCTATGATGGGTTTTTGTACAGTTAAAGTGTTTTGTGAGTTTTGAAAATGTAGTCTGATTTTGTTATAATAACAGTGGCATCATTTTTACCAGCTCTTGTGATGATTAAGACATTTTTCTTTAGTTTGTGTTTCAGTTTCTTAATGGGTTAGTCGAAGTTTGTGTGTATGCAATTACTTTTTGTATTGTTTGCTGGCTTTACGTCCATTATTGTTTGGATGAGGTTTTGGCTGATTTGGTGGTTTAATTTCTTTAATATAATAATTTTTTACTTTGTAATGTTTAATGACCGTTAATAAATGATTATTCGGAGATCGTGAGATGCGGTCTGGTGTGACGTAGGTTTTAGAAAAACATTTTATTTATCGTGCCAACGTTTCGATCTTTATTGAGATCATCTTCAGGGCCAGGGATGGGAAACGTTGGCTCTCACGATCTCCCAATAATTGTTGTACTGTTTATTTTATCATTTTATTATTTGTATTGTGGGTCGTCGAACACATGTTGCAGCATGGAATTTTATTTTTCAACAGAACGTTTTCGACCTCATCAGTATCTTCACTGTTACTTACATTTGTCTATGCAGTGGACTCCCCAGCAATGTGTACGCAATTCAACAACCTACAATAAATATAATAAAATTTTGTGTATTTGTATTCGTTTTGTTCACGAGTGTGTGGTTTTGTTTTGTATAATGAGTGGGCTAGTCTTGTGTCGTTTTACGTAAGCGTTTGGATTTTCTTTTTGATTTTTTCGTATTACACTTGAGATGGTGAAATGCACACAAAATTCTTTAGTCTTTATGTTAATGTGTGTTGTTTAGTGACCGTTAGGGACCGATTATTTGGAGATCGTGAGATGCGGTCTGGTGTTACGTAGGTTTTAGAATTTTCTTTATCGTGCCAACGTTTCGATCTTTACAGAGATCATCTTCAGGATTCAAAGTGTTTGTTTTCCTTGTAGATGTGTCATTCCTCTGTATCGTGTTGACTATGTTAATTTTTAATTACTGTTCAACGTGGTCCGTTAAAAGAGTTATAGTAGATTATGTTTAATCATTAATGTATGGAGAATTTAGGTGTTCTTGAACATATTTCTTTGTCTGAACTCTAGATTTTTTTTTTTAATGTAGCAGATCACCAATATAAGTACTGCTACTTTCGGCAACAATTATTAATACCATATTTATTATTAGTTTCGTACAGATGGATTCTGTAAGTTATAGAAGGCGATAGTGTTTTCAATAAACATTGATTCCGAATAAACAATAAAACCAATAAAATTTATAGCAAACGAATGTAAATATCAAACGTTTTAATGATAACCTCTTCTTCAGAGATCACAAGAAAGTCAAATGCACATTTGTAGCTGTATTTTTAAAGTTATTTTTCACTGAAAATAATCTAGATGTGAAGCAATTAACTTTTATCGTTGAAACACCTATGGTCCATGAATATTCAATTATTCATTTTCAACATTCGAGCTTTTCGTCACAGTCGAACATAGGAGCAGTAGGGGATATGTAAGACGCTCAAAAAAGCCGAAACACAAAAAGTTTCACATGGTGTAAGAACGACACGACACGCGACCAAGGACAACAAGCGAAAATAGACGGGCCCCGAGATGATCGCTCACGCAGCCGATAAATTCATTAGACGTAAAGCGGCCGGCAAAGTGTTACACAACGGGTCATTGCGTTAATTAGCGTTATCAAAGTAGATGTTTTCTATTCGTTAAATTTGTTTCCGAGATACTATTAGAGCTTACGCAACGCGCTGTATAGCCCCCTAGGTTGTAAAATGGCTAAAAACACTATGAAATTTTTTTTTTAATATTCTGTTCAAATTTATTCATTGATTTTTATTTGGAGTATATTAATTTCTGACGTTACCTATTCGGTTAAATAAAAGTTATCTAAAACGAAACTATATGGAAAAAGAGATAATATATGAGAAATATTTTACAAAAGAGAAAAAATATTATACACCGTTTTGTTTCGTTACGTCTTGTGTTAAAATATTTGTTTCCATTTTGAGTATGACGTGAAAAGAAGGAGCGGGATTTTGAACATTGACTATTCATGGGCGACTCGTAGTTTAGTCGTCGAAAGAAAAAGTATTATAAACAATTAATTATTGTCGCATAAGCTAATTCACCACGGGACGATCAGATCCTGACTATTTATTTAGGCAAAGAAAATGATGATTTATTATGAATGATGATATAGCGGGAAATAAACTCGAAACAAGGCAAAACTTGAACGTTTAGTTTTTGTTTTATGTGTGCTTATAAAAGTTTCGATCTATTATTAATTATAAAATAAAATCAGGTTTGAAAAATTACATTCTTTTCCTATTAGTAGAACAAGGTTGGCCCCTAAAATGACAAAAGTGATTATAGTTCTGAAGAATAAACGTAAAATAGAATAAAACTTGGTGAATTTTCCCCGTTCATCTTATCAGTAAATTTTATTTTATTTTTTTTTAACGTACGTCTGAGGTGGTGAATAGAGGTTGTCCGGAGGCGGGCTGGGGATGGCCGCCCCGCCCCAATCAGGCACTGACCACTCGCACATCCACTCAGAAGGTGCTTGTTGACATGGGCTGTTGCACTTTTCCAGTGTACTGGAGTCGAAAAGAACTACACAGCGATGATCGTGAAACCCTTCTTCGTTTTCGAACTAGGTTGGACGAAAGGAAAAAAAAACCCAAAACAATCCTGACGAATCACTGATCGACACTACACAACAATGGTTCACCTTTTTGGACCTTCGCCGATCGACACGGCCTTACGTTAAACCGGCAAAGCGACTTGGGCTCCACTGAAGAGTTAAAGGGGTCACTATGTCAGGTCCCGCTTCGTGGCGAAACGCGAGGAGGGGCAACTCTGGTGGGGGCAGTTGACGTCAGTTCCCCCATCCCACTCCAGCCACCCATGAAACAGTCTTCCTTTAATAATATAACTCTGGATGTTTCTCAGGTTTTAAACCTCACTGAGGATTGCGTATAACCGGTAAATCGAGCACAAGACAAAGATTTCCGATATGATGCGTTCGGTAAACACCCGTGGGTCATAACGAGGCATACTTTGGGTTATTTTGATTTTACGATGTACTAGCCTTTACCCGCGACTTCGTCCACGTGAGACTGTTTCTAGCACGCACAGTGCTAGAATGGCTTTCTAATGTAATGTCTCGTTTCTCAAATTCTTCTCTTCTTCAGTTCACTTCGGTCTATACATGATACATAATTTTCCATATAATACCCTAAGGGATGGAATTTCAAAAATTCCTTTCTTGGCGGTCATCCATTTCATTATAGGAATGCATTGTCGAAATTTTATCCGTTAGATCCAAAGGTTTGGTCTGTATGTTGTCTGTCAATCACGGAACTGTTTCAAAATAAAAACTTCAACAAACTAAATGTAACTTTTGAAAAAAAAAAAAAAAATTTTTTTCCAGTTTATAATGTACACCCTGTTAAGTCATTTGTAGTTTTTTTTTATTAGGGCATTCGACATCTAGGTCATTTCAGCCCGCAACTAAGTCTATATTCTATTTTAACGTGTGGTGATTAGTGACCGTTAATCGATATTTATTTAGAAATCGTGAGATGCGGTCTGGTGTGATGTAGGTTTCAGAAAAACATTTTCTTTATCGTGCCAACGTTTCGATCTTTATTGAGATCATCTTCAGGGCCTGGATTTGTAAGGCCCTGAAGATGATCTCAATAAAGATCGAAACGTTGGCACGATAAAGAAAATGTTTTTCTGAAACCTACATCACACGATTTCTAAATAAATTCTATTTAACCCTTTCATACACTACATTCAAACAAATAAATACACATAAATACATCCATACAGTACACTCATTCCGTTTGGTCGGTGGAGTATTGATATTCCTCCACCGACCTATATTGAAACTAATCTAGATTGGGGGTCGATGGAGTACTTTTATAAATATTCCGCCATCGACCCTGAAGACACAATCTTACGCTCTCAACGTTCGAGGGGCGATGATGACGTTATATTTCACCCTCACCCCTCGCCATTCACGCTAATAAATATATGCACTGAGACAAAACATATAGACTCAACACAAAAGACATATTATATACAATAAGAAACCCAATTTCCCCTAAAAAACGGAACGGGGACTCTGAAAGTCGCTACCGTGTTCGAGAACTCTTCTTAAGTCCGGCGGCATGCCTACACGCTCTCTGTATGGAGCTAAGGCATGACACGCCTCTAATATGTGGGACCTTTCTCTGCATATTTATTAGTTTTATTGGTATTTAGTTATTTGTACTTGTGTTTTGTTTTCTCCATGTATACGTAAAAAAATAGCATAAAATGATCACTTTCTCCCTTCTAGCTATATCTCTTTTCTTATTTTTATGGTTATTCGAGATTCTTTTCTATTGCAACTCCACCTGTCTCTAATTAACTTATCCTAAGAGTCATTTCGTGTCCTTTAACGAATGAAAAGTATGCAGAATACGTTTAAGACGCAAACAACAATATATGCATAAAAAACCAGAGAATCATCATCGACGTTTTCAAAACCTGATGAAATGAAATTTTTTATAGACAAAAACAGTTATACTATAAATTTAGGCGTTCAAGTACGAGATGAAAACCTTATGCATATTTTCCCAGCATGTCAAATTTTTAAGCAATTAAGAAGTCATTGCTTTACCCCTTATTTAAAATATCTCCAGAACACCAGTTGATCGGTTTATTAACATGTTTTAATTATACACAAACTAGTAATGTGTGCAATTTTTTCAAAGAGTACTGAAATTAAAGTCCTACATCATTAATGAATAAATACAATTAACCGTAAAACCCTTATCAAGACATGTCTATTTTTTGTGCTAATATTAACTTCTTTTATTGCCACTTGTATAACACATACATTCAGTAATTAACAAAAGCATTTTTGATTTTAGTTTATTTTGTACCGAATGAATATACGTTCCAGTCAGTTTACAATAGTTCCTGTATTTGTTATATTTATTTAGTGGTTTAGTTATGGTGGCAAGAATATCCAATGATTATTTTATTTCTAATCCATGTACTAATACGTCTTGTTCTCCTCCATACCATGAAAAGTATAATATTATGTTTATGTTATTTTGTTATGGACCAACTTTGACACTGAATTTGAGAATTTATTGGGTATTTATCTTTGAATTTATTTCAACACTGTATTATACATATGCCAAGCTTTCGACTCCATACTCCTCCTTTCGGGTACTAACAACATAAAAATGAAAAATTTTCAATTTCACAATTGATCTGATTTTATAGCACAGAGATAATAATAATCTGATAAAATCAGATCAATTGTAAGAAGGGGGCGTCGGTGGCCGCAAGATTTAGTCTTTCACACGGCGCTCATCACTGTAAGGTAAAGGTCCAAGGTTCGAATCCAGCGGCCCTGCATTCGAACCCGACGTACTTACAAATGGGCTTTTTTTCAAAAACACCGGCACCCTGAGGGTTTATATGACCTCTTCTGTTGCGAACCCTCGTAAAAAAAAATTGTTGTAAGAAATTGAAAATTTTTCATTTTTATGTTGTTATTGAATGATTATCGAGGTCTAACCCGACTATATTATCACATGTGAAAAAACTTACAGTAAATTAACAAGCTACATCTATCCTTTAAAACGGAAGAAATCAACAGCATTTTATACTTACACATACTCAATTCTGCACTGAAAGACAAACTAAAGTATGCGGCGCTCGTCAGCAATGATCACACGGCAACTAGTGCTTAATTTGAACTTCTAGTGCAAAAGTCAATTCCGGCCATGTTTAATGAAATTACAATGATATTATCAAGATTTGAAATCGCCTTATTTCACAACATAAAATAGTTTATGCTGTGTGGTCGTAAACAGAAAAGACCCCTCGACCCTTGGTGGAAATCTTATTGGAAATACTCGATAGTTCAACGGGCGTTTATACTTTCAATTTGCCCGTTCTGCTTTCTAATATTGAAAACAAGTGGTGGTTTGCCAACTGGAATACGATCCAAATCCGCAATTGCTTGATGATTTAAATTATTAATTAAATACCCACTGTAAATAAATAATAATAAATCTTTATTTTGCCATAATGGAAAATACAAAAGATAATAAAGTTTTTTTGATTAGAAGTTGAACAATAACAAGAAAACTTACTACACAATTATAAAAGTGATTTATCGTTGTTCTTCCATTAATCCTACTTTCAGTAAGTTTAAATACTTGTGCCAGGCGGCAGGAGCTGTAAAATTACAAAGGCTAAAATGCTTTTAAACATTACTTTTTTTAATACAATTTGAAGTACATTACAACTACCTTCAAATAGGTAACAAGTAACAGTGATCTAGGTAAATACAAAATTAAAACCAAGAGTGTAGAAAACAACCTTGGTATTACTCCAATGTTACTAAAATATTGTCTGTTTATTAAATTCACTAATTTCGTGGTCCGCTTGACCAATTAATACATTACAATTAATTAAGGTTTTTAGTTGAGATGAAAAAAGTTAATGGCACGAGCGGGATTCGAACCCACGATCTTCGGCTAGATACGCCGCTGCTCTACCACTTGAGCTATCGTGACCTCGATCCACTCGGACATCAACTTCCTATCTCAACCCCACCTTATGAGTTTTCCCTCCTTTTTGCCATTTTTCCTTTTTGTCTGTTTAATTGATACTTGTGTCATTATCACTCACTATCATCAACATCACATCCTAGGAGATCTCGCGGTCAATATCTCTTTGGTCGGTGGGGACGGTTTGAGGGGTTCGTCGAGATGTGAGGTTTCTGGTGTGCTGATTTACGGTAGTAGAGTGGTTTTTATGAAATTTACAGTAACGGGAACGGATTTCATCTTGAACGAAAGGGATATGTAAGTCTGTATGTGTACTTAGGTTCGATACATAGAAAAGAGCATCTAGTATTAAGGACTGGGCAGTTCGAATGTGGTGGATTTTGGAATGTTTGGCTGAACACAATTCCAACCCGTAAGTCCATACCGGCATAACTATGTTGTTGTAAAGCAGCCTTTTATTTTTGAGTGGTAAATTAGAACGTTTGCCAAGAAGTTGTGCAAGAGCTCTACATCGTGTCATAACCTCCTGACGTTTCAGTCGCGTGTGAGGATTCCACGTCAGGCGTTTGTCGATGTACAGTCCGAGGAACCGCACCTTGTCCGAGTTGGGAGGGGAATATTATTTAAGAAAACAGGGGGAGATCTTTTACGGAGTGAAGGTGTGGGTGGGTTTGTCTGTGTTAAATTTTAACCTTTTCTTTTTACACCAAGGCTAGTAGTATGAGGCGTTGTTGGAGGTTTCGGGTAGAAATGCTAGAGAGAATTGCAGTATCGCCTGCAAATGTGAATGTGGTGGTTTCGGGATGTGATGTCATGTCAGCTGTGAACACCTGGTATAGTGTAGGGGCCAGAACGCTACCGTGATGAACACCATCATGGATAGGGAAATACGCAGAGAGGGAACGGCCTTCGATGTCTTGGCAGAATCGGTCAGTGAGGTAACTGTATGAGACTAACTGTATGGAGGACATTTGTAAAAACGTTTTCTGATTTTCTTTACCAATAATAATTTCTGCACCTCGACCTTATTTACTTACTATTGTGCTCATCTAATTTTATAAATCACTGGACGGCCTGTCTGTGGCTCGTTAGTATATGATCTTGCCTGCAGCTTTTCCTCTCTTAGTTGCAGGAGTCTACAGCTACATATACGCTCCAGAAAACACAGAATGTTCTCTACAGTCTCCTCCTCTTCCTGTCAGTATCTGCTCAGTGTTTCTTCTGTCTGTTCTCTACAAAGGGCATGTGCCT